CATCTACATTAGAGGGAATATTTTAAGTGTGACTTTGATTAAGCACCTTGGTTATAAATCAGAGAACCATGACAATCTCTGCCCTGAGCGGATTTTATTTGATTTGATTTTTGTCGTCCCTTTAACAGCCTTCTGGTGCGGCGTCACAACCTCTTTTTCAGCCTGGAAGAGCTGAACAAGGAATTTGCAATGGTTGAGTGGGAAGGAGATTTCTTTGTCGCAAGTGGAGTCGGGGAGAAAGAGAGGCAGCCCAACATTTCACAGATGCAGAGTGTGTGTGTGTGTGTGTGTTGATTCCCCAGGTACTGTATTTGGAAATAAGCATCCCACGGAGACTGCTGAGATTTGAGTCTCGCCACCAGTGTCATTGAAGGGTGATTTTTTTATATACCATTGGATTTTTATGAAAATATTCCATGTGGGGACCTCGGCAGCAAGCAATGGAAGGGAAAAGCCAAAGGCACCCCTGAAGCCATATCCTTTCACTGTACTCTCTGCACTGATTCTATATTCAGCCTCTGTGAGTATGGACATGTCTACACATGTGATCAGGAATCCTTTCTGGCTCTTCATACCATTTGGTCTTTGTAGCCACTACAATAAATGCACGTTTATTTATTTATTTATTTATTTAACTTATATGCCGCCCACACTACCCAAAGGTCTCTGGGCGGCTTACAGCATTTAAATTGAAGTGGACCTTATTTCCTCACCCCACCCTCCAACAACTAACAATTGTGTCTGTACATGTAAATTATCCATGTCATCCCATGGCTCAGTAAAAAGATCAGCAATTTTATTTTTTCTTTTTTTTAGGTTTTTTATGCTGTTATGTTTATGTGAAACGCTTCGTGTTCTCAGAGAGTGCTAGTGGAAGGGAACATCAAACTAGAGAACACAGGCAAAAGGTAACTACATATCCTGGAATGTGCCTGATACCTTTATCTCATGCTAGATCAGTGGGACATTATGGGAATGATGTTGGTATACACAATTCCCATTCTGGCGTTTGCCCCAAAGCAAACAACGTTCTCCCTACCAGTGCTGATGGACTGTGACTCCGGTGCACTGTTGATGTCCCTCGGACTTTTGCTTCTGGGGGACTCTGACATCCACGTGGCGATGTTGGTTGCTGGGTTGGCTTTGGAGTTTATGAATTCCATAATGTCCATGGGCCTGTCACAACATGTTACAGGACTTGCACATGTGGCAGGACAAACCTTGGACTTGGTGTTCATGTCTGGGTGGAGAAATGATTATCTGAAGGTGGTAAACTTTGCATCTCCTGCCTTGTCATGGTCAGATCATCACTTGCTGAGATTTGGACTTTGTGCAGCAGTGCTCTTCTGTGGGGTAAAGGTAAAGGTAAAGGTAAAGGTAAAGGTTCCCCTTGACAATTTTTTTTGTCCAGTCGTGTCCGACTCTAGGGGGCGGTGCTCATCCCCGTTTCCAAGCCATAGAGCCAGCGTTTGTCTGAAGACAATCTTCCGTGGTCACATGGCCAGTGAGACTTAGACACGGAACGCCATTATCTTCCCACCAAGGTGGTCCCTATTGATCTACTCGCATTTGCATGCTTTCGAACCGCTAGGTTGGTGGGACTTCTGTGGGGTAGATGGACCTATTAGAATGATCTGCCTCCAAAGTTTCATCTGCAGGTGGCTCTGTGCAGGTCCTTGGGTGCTGCCTATGGACTGGATGAGGGCCATCAAACTAAAATGGAATCCAGATAAGATGGAGATCTGATTATAAGGATTATTAGACCAGTTAGAGCAGTGGTTCTTAACCTTGGGTTACTCAGGTGTTTTTGGACTGCAACTCCCAGAAGCCTTCACCACCAGCTGTGCTGGCTGGGATTTCTGGGAGCTGCAGTTCAAAAACACCTGAGTAACCCAAGGTTAAGAACCACTGAGTTAGAGGGAAATTTACCAGGCCTCAATGGAGTTACACTGCCCTTGAATGAGCAGGACTGCAGCTTGGGGGGGGGTACTCTCTATGGAGGCTGAAATATCTGCTGTGCCTGAGAGTGTCTTCTATCAACTTTGGGTGATTGTCCAGTTCTGCCCTGACCTGGATAAGAAACCTAGCAAGAGTGGTTCATTAATGGGTAATCTCAAAAACAGACAACTGCAATGCTCTCTACATATGGTTACCCTTGAAAGCAGTATGGAAACTTCAGAAGGTACAAAATGCAGCAGCCAGACTGATGACTCGGTAAATTTGATCAGATAGCCTCAGTCCTGGTGTGCCTTCATTGGCTCCTTCTTAATTTTCCATGCTCAGTTCAAGATGCTGGTAATGACCTATAAAGCCCTTAACAGTTTAGGACATTCTCACCTGCTCCTCTCAATCCATGCTGTTAAAAATTGTTACAATGAGGGAGGCTAAAAAGGTGAATACAAGGAATTGTGCCTTTTTTTATTGTGGTCTCTAGTCTCTGGAATAAAATGCCGACAGAGATATGTCAGGCTTCTTCCCTCGTTATGTTTAGAAAGATGATAAAGACCCAGTTATTTAAAGCTGCCTTTAATAACTGCATCTCTGAGATGCAGTCAATAACAACTTTTAAAAAAAATCAATTCTACATTTTTACAGGGCTATTCATATTTATGATTGTAATTATGGTCTGCTGTATCACTGTATTGTTTTGGAATTGCATGTTGTTGTTATTGTGAGATATTAACAGTTTGTGAGTTTTAATCTTGTATAAACTGCCCAGTGTAGTGCTTGCACTAATGAGATGGCATATACAGTAAATTGAATGAATGAACAAGCAAGTAAACAAATATCCTGTTATTTTGCTCACTGTTACACATGCAAAGGAGATGGGACACGCAACCTGTGGCCTGATCCACATACGGTAGGTCCTGATACTTCTTGATAACTATACAACTGAAGACAGCAGCCGTATGATAGGCTTCACTGAAAAGCTCTGCATTTGGGGCACATGGTGGAGAGATAGGAAGGTTCTTTCTACAGCATTGCTTTCATGGCAGACAGCCAAATTCTGGAAAGAATTTTAAAAATAAAATATTGTTAGCTGAAATGTGTTCAAAAGTGTTACTTACAATGGATGAATGTGGTTGACATTAAGTTAAATAAAACTTCAAAAATGTTGGATGGGGCTGGGCAATTTGAAAAACTACTTTAGACCTCAGGGGCAAAAGTACCTTCCTGAACCTGCAAGCCACCCTTCTGCCACCCTCCAGCTACTGAAAATTAACAACTTCTTTATTTGGACCATAAGCAATTGCACAGGGGAGGCTTATTTGCTTCTTCAGCTCGATGCATTTCTCACGAAGAGTGAGGGGATTTTAAACAAGGTATGCAGGTTGTCTGTAAAGAGTACAGGCAGCTTATGGATTAGTAGCCAAACTAGTGAGTTATTAATGACTGGAATACTGGAGTAACTCTTTCAACATTAACATTCAGTGGTGGATTGTTGGAAGTTAAGAAGTCAGCATGGGCCTTTCTTGTTGCACACTGAATCAGGTGACTAGTGAGCAATAAGAAATACCTACTCTAAATTCTTAACTTGTGGCAATTCACCACTGAAAGTTACATTTGTGGGTGTAACTAACAGCAGTCTGGCCAATGTATTTCACTACTTGTTACTCATGAATAGTGAGCAATGAAATTGTGCAACACCTTCCTTTTGAAATTTAACAAGCTGCATGTTGGAAATACTGATAATATTTTAAAACTTTGGTGATGGCTCATTCACATATTCTTTATAATGGCACAGCTATAACTGAAATACAGAAGTGGGTAAAATCTCTCTTTCAATGGAAATAGTTGAATAGTCTTACCAGCCTGCATTGTATGCATTTCAGCCACTGAGAATTATTCAGAACACATTGAAGGTGTTGGATAAGGAAACTTCTCCTATAAGGTTTATATATGATTACTGTGTGACATTAGTGTATGCCCACAACAAAGGCAACTCACACCAGAATAAAACTAAACGGGCGTATTTTATTTCTACAAAATGTATAAATATTTAAAATTTACAGCAGAGTTAACATTTAACAACTGGTACAACATTTGAAATGGTGTAATTCTCAGTTCACTGCCTACTCTCTTAAACATAATAATAGCATTCTGGCTCCAAGTATTCTTAACTTCAGGATGGCTCATAAGCAATTCCTCCAACACAGCTTCCTTCTAACATGGGAAAGAAAACAGACTGTAAAGTTCACAACGGTCATTAGAAGGACCACTTCCTATATGAGATCTTTTGGGTAGACACATAAGAGAGTTTACATATACTTCAAAAATGTTTAAATGTGAGAAATGCTTGCCAACATGTACATCATGTAAAGTATGGTTAACTGACCCCAGGAGGTTGGAGTCGGCTAACCTAGTCTTCAGTATCAAGATGGGTTAAATGTAAAAGGAAGGGAAGCGAGCCTGACCCACCTTGGCAGCTGCTTTTGAAGGAGCATCCTCAATCTACAAAGGCTCCCAGGGCAAGCCAGAATGTTGATTTTCCAGTATTCTGGCTCAAGTGGTAAACCTTCCTGGATTGATGAGTCTCTCAACTTCACACCGGTTCTCTGTGTCAGTGAAGGAACAATGAAGGGGCAGAGCTAGCAAACCCTCCTTTCTCGTGCATTTAGCCCATCTAAATACAGCTGTGCCCTGCTTCACGATTACCCCACATTACGACGAATCCGCTTCATGATGATGTTTTTGCGATCGCAAAATGATGTTTTAAATGGGGGAATTTCGCTGCGCAATGATCAGTTCTGTTTCGGGAACTGATTCTTTGCATTACGACGATCAAAACAGCTGATTGACGGGTTTTCAAAATGGCCACCAGATGCTCAATGGCTCCCCGCTGTGCTTAGGGACGGATTCCTCACTATACAGGCACAGAAAATGGCTGCCGTATGGAGGATCTTCGCTGGATGGTGAGTTTTTAGCCCATTGGAATGCATTAACCGGGTTTTAATGCGTTTCAATGGGTTTTTTATTTTCGCTTTATGACGTTTTCATTCTACAGCAATTTCGCTGGAACGAATTAACATCGTTAAGCGAGGCACCACTGTATGTAATAAGGTTCCCAGATGAGTAAACATGGATTTGCTACTCTATATGTCATGGTTTCAAAGGATATGGAATGCTATCTGAGAGAAGTGGCCTGTTTGTAAAGAAATTGACTTATCCTGCTTTCCTGAAAACATGCTGTTTAAGGAGGATGTGTGAACTCCAATGTAGATAGAACAATGACATTAGGATTTCAGAAGTATACGTGAATGTTTGAAAACACTTTAATGCTAATAATTCATGTACTGTACTCTAATTTAAAACACATTGCTGGTGTTCATTCAACACCTTGAGATCAAGCATCAGCTTATATTTAGTAGCAATTTAGATAAGGTGTAATCTCACCAGATGTGTTCACACAGTAATGGCAGCAGAATTTTTGTCTCCCTTATGACGTACAAGAGTGAGGGTCCATAATGGTTAGTGGAATACACTTGGCACACTCAAGCTGTAGTTACCACAGTAGTTCACTATGATTCTGATGTCTTATTTCAACTGCAAACATGTTCAAATTTTCTAGTTTATTGTAAAGCAGAATTTAGGTGACAGAAACATAACAAAAATCTTATTTTAAATCTGTCCCCTAAACCAGGCATTGGGAATGTGTTAATCTCTAGATGCTGCTTCAGGCAACTTCCAACTTCCCTCACAATTGTTTAGGACAAAGGGAGACTGCTCTTCAGACATCATTGGGCAGTGACCCAGCCCATTCACTCCTGTGTTCAAAATCATTACAGACAAATTCATAGCTTCACACTTAAGCACCTTCTATAGCATTTGCCTCATTGGAGACTCTATTTGGCATCTTCAAATGAGATGCATGTGTCATGTACTGTATATGATCAGATATGATCTTAATTAGTTCCAATTTAAAAAACATACAAACAAACCAATCCTAGACCCTGTTGGCTAGCAGTATGATGCTAACCTCTTTCCCAAATGTTATTGGTTTGCATTCACATAAAAATACCATTCTTGAATCTCAACAGTCCAGATACCTCCAAAGATAGAGCAAATCCATCACTTCACTACTTGAACCGGACAGAAGAGACATGGGAAAATACATAACCCTGATATGTTGCTGGACTACAACTCCCATCATTCTTCATTATCGGCTATATCAGCTGTGGCTGGTAGAGTCTGCAGTCTAACATCTGTAGAGCCACATAATCTGTCTCCTTGAAATAAAATGACATGAGGATGAGGGTTGGGGCCATGCACAACAGCCTCTCCCCAGTGTCCTTGTATCAGCCCCACCTTCTCAGGTGCTGACCTTTCCATGTTGAAGGGGAAAGTCTGCTATTGGCTGCCAGTCAGGTTTGCACAAATGAAGGCATCTCCGCTCCTTTTGTTTGGCCAGGGATCCTAATCCCCCCCAAGGATTCCAGTAATGTTCAAGCAAACACTGACTTCATCATTCCATCTGTAGTGGTCAGAGCTTGAGGAGGATGGTGCTGGAATGAATGTTCCCAGCTCTGCTTGTGGACTCAGGTTTGCCTACCATAATAAATACCTAATTGCCCCTCCCCAAGTAACTAATGAAATGGGCAGGGATGAAGACCTTTAATACTGTATGTACAATACTGTCAACAGGTTTTTGCCTTCATTCTGTATGCATTCTGTCAAACATCCCTCTTGCTTCATATTTACCTGTAATTTCATGATAGCCACAAGAGCTGTGAGAGTTGTCACCAGTGTGTGTGTGTGTCTGTATCATAATTAAAAACAAAAACAAAGTTTTAAAGAACTCCAACAACCAACATGTGGAAATATTAATTAGCCCTCAGCAAACTCCTGCAAAATCAGGAGCAATTGGTCCCACAGCCAGGGAAATTGAGATGAGCATAGATTTTACAAGAGCAGTTTTCAGTTTTGCACCTTCAGCCTGTCAATATGGTCCAACATTTTGGCTTCCAGTGGTCAGTAATGAATTTAAGTCAAAAGCTAACTTTTTATTGGTCTAGAAAATGCTGAGAGTGGGGACCACAGCTACGTTGATCAATCTTACAGTCCTTCTAAAAGTAGTCACAATCTGGACAATCTGCTAAGGCCACAGAGTAGTATGACAGCAGTGTTGTGGTGGAACCAACAAGTCCCCAGTTGGATGTTTCAGTTATAGCTAGGAGTTGGGGAGCATTTAATGCAGGTGTAAGAAAGGAGGCCAGCCATTGCCCACAAGAGTCACCATCAGAGAAGCCTTTGAAGAGTTTCTGAGGGCTGGACAACTGATTTCCTGTGAGAAGAACAAACAATTTTCTAGCATCACAATATTGATGCCTTGAAATAACATTAATGGCCTTACATAGTTTTGTGTCTGTTACCTTTCCCCATATGTTGCAACACTGATTTCAGGATCAATTGCTTCAGTGTTCTTGGAAAGATGGAATTTTCCTCATTGTACAGAGAAGCAAACTAAATGTCATTATGCCCACTGGTTTATTGTTATAAAGTAACAATAACTATACCTCCCAAGGAGAATTCAATTCAGAACTGCCATGCCTGTGCAATGATACTTCCAAATGAAGCCCAGCTTTACCTCCTGATGAACAATCACAAAACAAAAGCAATGTAATTCGCATTATCATGCTAGGATAAACAGAACTCCTGCCTCTTAAGGGAGCTCTGTTTCTAATGAGTGTATTATACTGTTTGACGCTCAGCCCTTGCGCTACAGGAATGAGAAGAAGGATTAGGTGACCTGGATCTTATTGTTCCCCAGTGACCTCCCCATACTGGCAGGAAGGGAAAATAACAGCTAGTACATCCAAGAAGAATTAGGTGACTGTGAAACCACTAAGAGTCATCCTTCAGCCCTTAAGTCTCCTAATCTTGGCATGTCAACCTGCCCATGAAGAAGTGAAATAACAGGCTCCTGCCTCACTTCACCCAGCATCTGTGCTCCAATCTGTCTTTAAGACATCACCTGTGCTTGCTCTCTTGACCCTGGTTAGCCTGATCCAGTCTGTCACCTCTGGAGCACATATCCTTATGTGCTTGCTTCAGAATATGGGCAGTGCCATGTGCAACCATTTTCATGATTTCCACAGGCCCAGTTAGCCCAGACCCTATGCATCTTCTTCAACATTGTGTTTCTTTCAAGTGCCACAATGAAAGGAGCTCGAAGACTAGTCCAGCACCAAGATTTCTACTCTCCAGGTGAAACACTACAAGCTGACCTTTGTTGTAGTGCAAGCAGGATACTACTCACAGCCCCGGGTGCCTTTGCCAGAATACTACAACACTGGCAGAATACCCTTGCCAGTTGCAGAATATCCTTGCCAGTTGCTGTTGGACTACTGTGACCTGGGCAAGCCAATGCAGATGTTACATGCCCTACAGAGGAACACACTTGTCTTGTGCTGGGTAACACATACCTGAGATAAGGTGATGAACAAACTCCCAACTTGGCTCATCTCATTATATTCATCCTTGACTACATCTCCTCTCTTGGCCCATGCTGTGTGTGAACACCAGGCATCTTTGGAGTCTGCTTTCTGATGCTAGCTTACTGCACCTCTACTTGCGTTCCTTCCAACCTGTCTAACAGCCTGTTTAAATTCTTTGGTCTGATATGGGATGTTAATGGAAGGACAAAACAATGTGGCTGGTCTTGTCAACATCTGACCCTCTCCAAGGTCCTGAAGGAAGCTGCTGCCATGTGAGAAGAATCAGTGAAGTTAGTTTCACCTCTCCCTCGAGATGGATTCATACCATTCACAGACTAGAAGTCATCTTCAATATTTTGGCATAACATTTGGCCCTATTATGGAAATTGTAATATATTGTATTTTACCAATTGGAAATCAAGCTAAAGCCAAGCAGATTTTATGCATGTCTAGATCTAATATTGCTCATGAAAGACCAAGGGGGCAGTCTCTGTTTCCACTTTTAAGCCAAGATCGCTCCCGTTTGCACTAAGGTATAACGATATGCCACACCATTGAAACATGGCCTTCAAAACAGCTATGTTGCAGGTCATCAGCTTATTCAACGTGTTTTTGCTGCTACCATAAGTAAAACTGCACAATTTTATTAACATTATTATCAGGTTGAAGCACTGATATTTTCAGGCAGGGACTGAAATTATGTTAATTTGCTACATATATGTATATGACAAAAAGTAATCTTGAAAATAAATATTACAATCAGTATGGAAAAGGAGATAGTTAATGCAACAAAGCTTAATTTGAAGTCAAGTGTTAAAGTAAACCTGCTGTTATATCAGTAGAATTTTCCAGAGTTTCATCCTATATTGTTCAAGTGAAGTTTTGCTGTATCTTATGTATTTGTCACTAATGGGAATTCTTAAGTACTGAGATACCATTACGATTTCCTGCAACGACTTACACTTTGCCAAGGATATATGTCTGCAGAACTTTAAATTCAAACTCATTGTGTTATCTATTGTTGTGATTCTGGTTTTACGTCCCATCTGTTAGCATACCTTTTACTCACTTTTGCTGATTTTATAAACAGGTTTCATGAACAGGAATGACAACTTTTTCCTGGTACTATACATGAAAAACATCCATTATATACAGCAATTTTACTGCTTAGAAAACCTTCCAGCTGAATTATCCACTGGTTATGGCTGGTGGCAGATTAAAAACTAATTCTTCCTCTGTCACCATGAAGGACTGGTACAAGCACATCAGTTTCGTAAAACAAATGAAATATATTATTTCACAATGCAAGTGAATTCCATAAGGCATTTAACATTGTCACTTTCAAGCAACATTACATGACAGGACCAACAGCAAAACCCACCCCTCCCCCCGCAAGATCTTGGAGTTTAGCTTTGTAAGGTTTTTCATGAGTTTGATCTTCTTGTGGATTTGTCTCGATAATAGTGCATGTCACATTATATAAAGCACTCATGTATTCAGCTGAATGAGTAAAAAATTCTGAGGGGAAAAGTGCAAACATGCTTTAAGCAATAAAAAAATTGTTCTTCTCACAAGTGGGCTTGTAATGAAGCACTCAAATCCTTTCACTTCATCAACAACAAGAGAAGAGGAATATCCTTACATCCTTTTGCTCCATTTAAAGGAGTGAAGTTCAGCGCGGTCTAGGACCTTCCAAGGCCTGAGGAAACACAGTAAGTCTCTCTCTCAGCTTTAGGCACCCAGAGTCATATTACGGAGAAGCCACTGCTGTGATCGGCTTTCGCTGCAGTCCTTCATGGTAGGAACCATTTTGTCATCCTCAGATGGCTCATCGAGACACTGGTTACTGTTCACATGTCTCAGGGTGAGTCGCTGTAAAACAAATGCACACATATACAGCCATGATGAAGATGGTTTCAGAACACTGCAAGCCTTTCTCTAGAAACTAAAGAACCTAGGCATGGGGAAAATCCACACTGACGACTCTTCTCATGTTTGTCTGTTATGTGCTGTCAAGTCATAAATGACTTACAGTGACTAACAGGTCTTTCAAGGTAAGTGAGATGTTTAAAGTTTTACCAGTTCCACTCCCCAACTGAGCTTCCATGGCTGAGTAGGATTCAAACCCAGGCTCCCCGAGTCCTAGTCCATCCCTCTATCCACTACACCACACTGCCTATCTTTTCTTTTCTCACATAGCCCATGCTTCTTTTATCATCCTCTCAGAGCATGCTACAGTGGATCCCAACATCCAAGGGCAATTTCAAATATAGGAACTTGCTTCACATGTCTCATACATACCTGTTCTACCACATAATAAATGCTTAATACAATGAGATTATTCAGCACTTTGATACTCACCTTAAATATCTGAGAGTCACAAAGAGTTAACATACAGTTGGTTTCATATCAAATTCCAAAATTCATACTGTGGTAATATCATTTTTTTTTTGGCCAACCAAAAAGTCACAGAAATGCACATAAGCATTCAAGGTCACTGATCTCCTCATCAAGAAACACATTGTAAAAGCAAGATACCTTATTTCATACCAATGTAACTCAAGTGTGATACCTCAGTGATGCCCAAATCATTTGGTTGACACAAAGGGGGCAATGGACATTGCCCATCAGCTCCGTTCTCTGTGGATTTTAATGAGCATTCCATTCCTGCATGTACCATTCATCACAATGAAGCACTGAATGATTAAGTGTTCTCATGTACCCATGCTTTGCTTTGCTTAAGCCACTGTCTATTGATTCTTAACTGTTTCCTTCTGCCTATGACAGTTTTTTCACCTACTTGCAGACATATTCTCTCCTCCTTCCAATCTTTTTTATGAGATTTTTACTAACTGCAGTCCACCTCCAAACTATTTCAGACTGAATAACCACTCACTGAAGTACGGAAAGCAAATCAATGGGGTGGGTGGTGGGAAATATCCAAAATAATATTAGCATTGTTTTCTACAAAGTAAAATCATGTAATTTTGATACATGCCTATGTAAACCTCACTTTTGATACATGCCTATGTAAACCTCACATATTTTTGCACAGTATGCTGTAATATCTGAAACCTAAAATGTATTGTCCCAACTGTTCAATCTAAAACTCACTTTTAAAATTCTTATACATCAATTGGTATGATCTTTAATGAGAACTGATGGGCTGAAACTGGATCTTAAACATAACAAATGCAAACAAATTTTAATACAACTATCATTGAAATTCTATAGACCAGGAATACAAAAATAATTAGACTAATGCAAAACATAAGGTGCAATCATATGGAGAAGCAGCTTGCATTTCGGACTGCTTGCAACACAGTCTGCATGACGTATGTGAGATTGCACACCAGCTGGATCATGATGCTTGCCCAGGATTCTGTGGTGTACCAGCAGAGGTACTTTCTTTTTTTTTGGGGGGGGGGGCTGGGCTGAAGTGATTATTTCATAGACAGAAGTGTCACTTTAAGAGACATCCTGCTCAGCAAAGCAACCTTTTCCGCTGCTATCAGATATGATCCAATCCTTTCTCATTGTCTGATTGTACCCACTGTGTCTGATATTAAACTGTAAATGAAACTCACTTTACTCCCACTAATGGTTGGAGTTGCCCTATCAATTTGCTATGCTGATTAATTCTGAAAAAATTGACATAATTAAAATCAGCGTTATAGATTAATTCAACAATTTGCTGATTCTCCCCCGCCCCCCCAATTCTGTTTTCCAGAAACTTAAATGGAGCAAAAAGCCAAGGAAATAGCATTGACATTTACAATGCTAGGCTATAGCCTTGAACCATAAAATATTCACATGCACACATGAAATAGCTTTCTGTTCTTTCAGAGCATTAGTGCATCTAGGCAAGTTGTATCTACTCTGATTGGCAGCAGTTCTGTGCTGATTCAAGCAGAGTATGTAGGAATATCAACAAAATGATAACTTTAATCTCTTGGGGAACTTTTCACTGTAAAAATGTTCAGAATGAGATGTAGAAGTCACTGACTGCTGCTACATGTTTATACAGTACTTTGTGTAATAGTGATGCAATGGTGACAGTGGAAGATTGAATGGTGATAAAGAAAAATTTGCAAAAAAAAAAAAAGGCAGCTTATGGTTGGACCTGTCTTTAAAAAGCACAGCACAAACATTCACTAAGAGAAACCTGCATTTGAAGTTCACTATGCTGGAGACAGTCCACAAATCCCGTGGTAAATTGGAAGGATAAATTGAGGTGGGTAGTCTTACTTAGGCTCAGTTGATGTGACTTGTCTGTGGCCTGAATGTTGCCAAAGAAATCTGAAGCCACAAGCCTTTTCATAGTATATAACAAGGGAGGGCAATATACAATCCCGAGGGCCATTCTTACAGTCCTGCCCCATTTGTTCTCCTGTGAGCATGCAGCCACCTATAGTGGCTAGGCCAGTAGCATACTGTACCCCTAATGATGTGCTGATTATGCTGTTCTCCTCAGCATAAAAGCACCATTGTTTTCCCCCCAGATGCCATGCTTGCCTCTTCAGCTCACTTTCCTTCATCCCATCTCTGAGTCGTTTCTTTTTCCTATCTGTGTCAAGTCTCATTGCTGCACAAGGGCATTTCCTGCACCACAACACTACCACAGCTGCTGCTGGATTTCAGTGGCAGCAGTCATGGGAGGAAAGAAGATGATACCCCCCTGAAGGGCTGAGGGGCAGCCAGTGTGACCCAGGGACTCTTTTCATAGCTATAGTCCTGAGACAGGGACCTTTAACCACATCTATGATCAAAGTTATCCTTCCGCCAGTTCCTAAGACCCTGAAGGGAAAATAAGGTAGATACAATAGGAGTACCCGTCCTCCTCAAAAATAGATCAATATTAATATCAACTTTATGGAAAGCCTGTCATAGTTCAGGAAGAAAGGGTAACTTCCCTCCCCAGCATGGCGTTCCAATCAAACCCACAACTGCTTTTCAGTTTTCAAAACTACATCAAGCAATTTAAGTGCCAATCTCTCTGAAGCCATCCAGGAGTGGGTTGATCCCTTTTTCCTGCACAGTCCAGGCAGGAGGAGTGAACTTAAAAGATCTTAACAGTCATCCTTCAAAAGCTACTCCCAGTTTACTTCTCCTTGAGTTGTGCCTCAGGCTCAGCCTCCAACCTCTTCTGCATCAGCAGCAGCAAGGAAGGGCCTTGAAGCCATTGACTTTGAGGACATGGATCACCAGCAGCACAGAGGAGGTTTGCAGGACCCTGGGGACAGGGAGGCTAGGGCTATTTTCTGTCAAAACCACAGTGGCAGCCATTTTTCAAAAAGACAACGCCTGCCATTCCCAGATCCTCCTCTGCCAGATATCTCCAGAAGGTGTCTCACAGCTCTTAACACAGGCTGAGGGTAGTGGCCATTTTATGGTGCCACCTCATTTTGAACTTCCTTCTTCCAGCCTTGTATGCCTCCCTCAATGTTTCAGATCCCTTTCTTAAATGACTACTCTTTAGTTAAGAAGATTACTCTCCCATAAATACTCCACTCCCAAGCCAACTACACCAGAGCACAGAGTGCTGTCCTCAGAAGATGCCGGCCACAGAGACTGTCGAAATGTTAGGAGGAACAACCTTCAGAACATGGCCAAAGAGCCCGAAAAGCCCACAACAACCATTAGATCCCGGCCGTGAAAGCCTTCGCGAATACATAGACATGATTTGCTCCTCTGCTTAATCTGAGAAGTCAGATGGGGAATGGTCAGGCTCTGCTCAGAGATCTGAGATCATTTATTCAACTGTTTATTCAACTCTGTACAAGCTGCTTCTCTTGGGGACTGCAAATAGGATGGAACAGACTCCCATGAACCACTCTAGATGAAGAATAGGCTCCATGCCATCGCTCTGATCTTGAGGAGATGATGGATTTTTTCTCAAAGAATTGCAAACTAGTTCTTGTTCCACGAGACCGGGGGAGGGGGGGGAAGGAACCTATGCCTGGAAATTTGGTGAAAATCTGTAAGGCAGCCCTCACTGATGGCTTGTAGCTCCCACTGATTGGGAGTTGTCCTTTTCTATGAGAGAAACTAGGAAGACAACCCCCACCCCATAGGAGGCGTGGGAGGAGATAGCATAGAATCATAAAATAATTGAGTTGGGAGGGGCCTTATAAGGCCATGACGTCCAACCTCCTGCTCAGTGCAGGAATCCAGATCAAAGTAGATCTAACAGATAGTTGTCCAATTTTCTCTTGAAGGCCTCCAGCATTGGAGCACTCACCACCTCCAAGGTACAGTAACTGGTTCCATTGTTATACTGCTCTAACAGTTAAGAGATTTTGCTGATATTCAGCCAAAATCTGGTTTCCTGTAGCTTAAGTCCATTATTATGCATCCTGCATTCTGGGATAATCAAGAACAGATCCTGCCCCTCCTCTTTTCAAATATCTTTAAAATATTTGAAACGTGCTACTATTATATCTCCCCTCAGTCTTCTTCTCTCAAGGCTAAACATGCTCAGCTCTTTCAGTCTTTCCTCATAGGGCTTGGTTCCAGTCCCTTGATCATCTTTGTTGCCTTCCTCTGAACCTATTCCAGTTTGTCTGCATCTTTCTTAAAGTGTAGTCACCAAAACCAGACAATACTCAAGATGAGGCCTAACCAGTGCGAAACAGAGGAGAACTAGTACTTCATGGAATTTGGAGACTATACTTCTGCTAATGGAATCTAAAATCTTCAGCTCCCTTTTGCACACACAGATCCTTCAACAAGTAGCTTCTGATTAAAGAGTCAGCCCCCTCCCGCCCTACAGATCTAGGACTTTCTTGAGTATTTTCCATTCCTTGATAGCTCCTTCCCACAGACCGAGAATAGGACACTGGCTCCCCTCTGTGAAGATGGTATATCTTTGA